CACATCTTACATACATATATACCTACCTACCTACACACCTACCTCGTATATAGCTAGGGAAACCGTAGTTCACGATCTCGCTCGTGACGTGCCGGGACGAGGGGTAATAGTGTGGAGGGATGGAACGATACGAATGAATGGATGGCGTCTGAGGGGGCGGATCGTTTTGCATGACACGATTTTCCTTTCCCGCTTCTCTTCTCTTCTCTTTCCTTACGCTAGAAAAAGTCGGGTTACGATTGATGTCTTTTCGAACAAAAAAGCGGAAGAGCGAGCGGAAGAAGAATCGATACGATACCCTGATGTCATGTTAGACTTTAGATTTAGAAGTCTCATTTCAAATAAAAATGCATTTACGAGATATATCTGGAAAGAAATGTGATAAATATGAGGAGTGTACGCGGTTTTTATTGAAAAAAGAGGAGCGCGCGAGTGCATCATTAAAAACCAGTCTATCAGTGTTCAGGTAATACATAGGTGAATTGCTTTTCTCATTAGGAAGATCGGAACGACTCTGCTCAGCTCATTTTCCTTTCCGCTTCTTGCCGGTACCACTAGCTACTTTCTTCTTCGTGATCGGTTGACCAGGTGAAGTCTTCTTGGCCTTGGGACGCTCGGATTCCGGCGAAGGTGAGGCCATCTCCCTGTTCCCTGCATCATCGCTAGTTGTCTCGTCCTCTTGAGATTCATCTCTCCTTGCTCGACTTCTGTGCCTCTTCGGACTGCTTCCGACGACCGCGACGCTATCGGCGTGCGGCGCACGTGGACCGGCGGTTTGATATTGGAAAGGATCAGAGGCGTGACGTTGATTAGGAGGTGCGTTCACGTATTGATAGTCGAAAGGAGGTGAATCTCTTATGCGAGATTGAGGGCGTTGTGTGGATGATGTCGATGAAGTACCGGAGCGAGGACGGGAGCGGCTTGCGTTTGGCGGATGAAAGCGCCCCATCGGGGGACCCTGCTCAGTTGAAGGTAGGGCTTTGCGAGCTAAGGACTCACTGGAGCCAGACGGACCTCGTGAAGGGGCATCGAATTGAGATATAGGAATGGCGTATCTCTGTTCCTTTTCTTTACGCTTTCGACCGCCACCACCTTTTGAGGCCTTGGCTTCGGCTTGTAAGCGTTTCCTTCTACGGTCGAGAGCAGCAAGTTCCTGCTTGTTAAGTTTAACGTCTTGCCTGCCCTTGCTTTGAGCTTTCCGTATCCTGGAGAGAGCTGATTGCACAAGAGCCTCTTCGAGTTCCCTTCTTTCGGCCGAATATTCATCGTCGGTATCCTCTTCCTCCTCTTCTGATGTAGCTTGCGTACCCTCATCTGTTGAATTGCCGTCCTCGTCCTCCTCATCCGAATGTTGATAAGCATAACCATTTCGCACCTGACCACCACCACCCAAGTCCGTACCAGTGAAGCGAAGCGGATCACTGGCAAACCGTCTCCCACCATTTTCAGCGCCTTGCGTATCTGTACCCTCACCATCCAACAACTCCTCAACAACCCTGCGCCCGGTCCCCCAGATACCCTCCTCCTCCTCTTCTTCATATCCCCTCCTCGGGCGCCTCGATGGTCTTCCCCATTGGGGCGCAAATTTGGGAGCTCGCGGCCGACCACCTAGACCGCCTCCCCGGAAAAAGCCTCATCGATCGGCTTGTCCATGAAAGAAGCGTGGCCAATGATGACCACGCCACTGGCACCAATCAACCACAGGACGGTGGAGAAAGGTGATGCAATTAGAAATAGAAGACCACAGGTGCAGAGCAAGCCGGTATACAGCTGCGAAGACGTAGCTTGGAAGGTGCCAATGGTGAGGTCTTGTCCGTTGAGCCGGCCAAGTAACCACAAACCACCAACCAGAAGTATAATGTCAAAGAGCAGCAAAGGATTTGTGATCAGCGCGTAGACACTGAGAAGCACAAAGACCAAAGCATAGTTGCTCGAGAAGGTGCCCAGATTGTAGTTAACACGCGACTGGACCTCTCCGAAGTTGGCTGGTTTGGACAGGCGCTTGAAATCGAGGAATTCACCGACGGGACGCATATTGGCAAATCGGCTCGAGAGGGAAGTGTTACGGAAACCTGCGAAGCGGTCCTGAATGTTCAGGCGCGACGTCAGGACGTCGAGAGGGATCTGAATACGAGCCATTGTGTGGGATGGGAAAAGTAATCGGGCTCAATGGTGTTGTGAAGATAGAATTGCTTTCGGCTGATAAGGGATAAGAATCGTGGCTGATGGCTTAGCGATGCCGATGGCGATGATTGTATCTTGAAAGTTAGGTAGGATGAGTTATTTAAGCTCGAAGTTTCGGACTGAACGCGTGAAGATGCCGAAAAAGTCGCGAATGGATCTCTTGGTACGGAATGTGTGGTTGTCGTTGTGGCGATGACAGATGGATAATTGTGTGTGTACGTGTGTGTAAGGAAGATCTGTTAAAAAAGGCTGATTGATTAGGATTTGACAAGTAATTTTTAAAATTAGATGCCCAAGTCCATGGATGCACCCACAAATAGGGGCAGAGCTAGCAGCTTACGTATCGACGTTTGTCCTCCACCAATTGGCCAGCTGAGATTTAGGCGATAGCTAGCAGTTAAGTAGGTACTAAAGTAGCTACCTAAAATTTAAATGCTTGTATCGCTCGTATCGAGGAATAACCCTTGGAAAGCTGGAAAACCTGAGGCAGCAGGATTTTCTAGATAATCTAGAGGAATCCAGTAAGGAAAGACGTCTCGGAAAGCCTACTAGGTGGGAAAGTAAAAATTTTCGTAGTCGATTGAAGGCTTTGTAAAAGATTCTTCTTATTCTTCTTTTTCTTCTTTTCGTCTTCCCCTGCTCACCCGGAGTAAAAGAATGACGATCGTGTTGCGGCCAAAGCCCCAGGGGTAATGCCGAACTGCACTATTCCCCCCTGGTCTTTGAGAGTTTCTCTTTTTAGAACGACACTCCCAATGACGCCTTGGGAGTGTCGTGAAACTCTACTTGAGTACACACGACGGGAAATGTAGAGACCTTCACCATACCTCCATCGGGATCGGAGGAATATGGTGTTGAGGGGTCGTAGAGAAGAGAGAGAAGGAGGAAAGGGGAAAAAAAAGAAGAAGAGGAAGCGGGAGGAAGAAGTAAGAAAAAAAATCTAGGGCCGGTAATGGTTGCTCTTATTACAGATCCGTAAGTATTCTATCTAAGGCGCCACTGTGTAGTGTGCACAAAAGACAACATCGATGCGGTGTGAAATCTGGCGGCAGCTAACTGGCGTAGATCTTGGTGTGGATTCAAGGATTATGGACGGATGGGAGGAAAAGTGGATCAAATGCTGCAAGCTTACTTGTCCCCGGACAAGATGACCCCGGTAAGCGATCTAAAGCACGGGCCATTATGGACGAAATCTGCAGAATTATGGAATTAATGCTGGCAGGCTGGCAGGCTGGGTAGGACTTCCCATCTTTCTACCAGCTCTGTACGACGTCACTTCCATTCCTCGTTTTTCTCCTCTCAATTGATAAACCTTATTTCAAACTAATTCAAGCTAAACTTGTATGACATCCCCATGATGGCATGATGGATATTGCAAATAACTCGAGCAATAACGGATGCGGCAAGTTCAACGATTATCACATGAGGAAAGAAGAGAGCACTTTTGATATTTGATCTGCAGCGATACATACCTCTCTGTCCATCTATCCATAGCTGTGTCCACTCCGCAGCACCATTACCTACTTTATACCTATCAACTAGCAAGAACCAAGAACCAAGAACCAAGATTAATCCACGATAATTCGTATTGTACCGCGCTCCGCGCTTGTTCTACCTCAACTTGCACTTAATCACATTTTACTCAGATTCGAGATATTCAGTCCTACCATGACGATCGTCACATCATGGTCGAACAGGTTACCGTGATGGTTTGGTACACGGGTGCCACGACCTAACTAGGATCGCTCCGAATATGCTATTTTCATTCAACGCTAGGTTCCACGCGAAAACGTGGCCATCCTCCTAGCTACGTCAACATACTACTATTCGTGCCTCCCTTTAAATAGCTCCTATCTTGACACGGGAGAGTATCGAACGGTCAGGTTTGCTACAACATAGCACAGGTAATACCCAGATCGGATATTACTATCATGATGCCCAGATATCTTTGTGTGATTCTCTCCCTGCGTCCTCTACATTTCGACGCTCTCAAGGTGTAGTGGGTTCGTCGGCAGTTTTTCACCAATGAAAACCGACTAGTTACCACCATGTCGAGTCCAGTGTCTCGGATCGGAGCCGAGAAATGCAGATGGATGTTTCGGACTCCATACTGTAAGCATCTCGACTGACTTGGTCATATCTAGCTAGTAAGGGCCGACTACCAGTACATATATCGATGCCCAAAGATCACACCTCACTGTGATCCTCCTCACTCGACGTATATTGGACTTCAAATACAGTTGGAGTAGAATTTTGGGCATACACTCCGAGGGAAAATCGACTAATCATGCACGCCAATTTTGATACGGTTCGATTTTGGCCCATAGTGAAAATTTGCCGGGTTTGTGGAGAAAATCGCACCTACGGAAGTCTCACAGCGTTCCCAAGTGAGCACAGCTTTCACAAGCAACAACTCGCGATCTTTCACGTATGGAAAGTCAGGCGTTCTGAATTGAATCGGATGATAGTCCTGGAATGCATACCTCAGTTGGTTTGCTAGGTTATGCACCTTGTTTATACCAGCTCCGCTTTGCTACATCGTTGGCGCCCGCCATTGGGATCAATGTGGTTCAACACAGATCTTTTGGGGGACAACTATAGAAACATGGCCTGTGATACTCTTCTATGGAAGTAGAGGCCAGCGTCAAGCAGCCAGACATTATCAACATACGTGTTAGAGTCTAAGTTTATACAGAGGCAGGTAAATGGAATCTTGAAGAGGCCACTTATCATGAATTAACTAAGAATCAATGCAGTCAAACATATATAATCTGATATTACCCATTTGGTCTGTCACCCTTGTATCCTCTTCGAATAGTCGCGTGGTCTAATGGTTATGATTTCTCGTTCACATTGATGTGTTCCCACTACTATAAGTCCCGAGAAGGTTCCGTGTTCGATCCACGGCGTGACTAACTCTTTTTGACTGCTCCATAGACGGAACATGTTCATGGTTGGAAATGGCTTAGCAGTAAGCTTAGCTATATCGTATGAGGACTTGAAGTTGAAGATTGGCTAAAATCGCCCCCGCTTGCGCCAGTAATAGAGGTACTCTCTAAGCTCTGAACATAACACATTGAATTCTCAACCCCATCCTATTCTATCGTGGAGTATCTCCAGGACTCTTTTTGAATTCTTAATGATTGATATAGGACTTTTCTTTTGGTTTATCAGCTTATAAATAATCTTGATATCAGGTAAGTTGAGAAGTCGCAGAATAGGCATGGCGGCGGCTGTAAGGGAGACCTATTTTATCTCCGAAGAGATGAACCACAGTGACTAATGTCGGCCTAATTATCGTCCGATTTCTACCACGCTTCGAGTTAAATAAACTGATATGCTGGACTGAATAACGATGATATCTCTATATTCCAAGGGTGTAATGATCATGGTAGCATCTGCATGCATAGGCGTGCTGTATATCGACCCAGGTCACGGCTTTAAGAACGTCAATAATTCCATACGTGCCAAAGATACTGAGGGTGGCCCTTCGAAATCACTATACAGTATGGGCGGACTTTAAGGACTTAGAAAAGGGGCATGGCTTTCACTCTTCCCTTTCGTGAAGTTAAAAGGTTACAGGTCTGCCAGTCCTGATGACTAGAATATGATTACATACCTACATACCCAGAATCCCATGAGGACGACCCGGTAACCAATAGTTTCAACATGGAGGCCTTGAACTTCTTTCGTGTAGACGGCTTGGTAGCTGTCGTGACCGGCGGTGCTACAGGTATGGAGTCCACAGCTACCGCGCATCCCCAGCACTCTTCTCTGATAATATCAAGGCATCGGGTTCATGATGGCCAAAGCTCTCGCAGGAGCTGGAGCGAAGGTGTACCTTCTCGGAAGACGAAAGGCCGTCCTGGAGGACTCCGCAGCTCAACACCCAAGCTTCACCCCGGTAGTATGCGACATCACGTCCAAGGAATCCCTCCAGTCTGCCGTTGACTTCATCACCAACGATGCGGGCTTCATCAATTTGCTTATAGCCAATTCGGGCACAGTAGGCCCCACCAATTCCTTCAATCCAGACCTCACGATCCAGGAACTTCGCAAGAATCTGTTTGAGGGATTGCCTATGGATGGGTTTACCGAAACCCTCCGCGTCAATGTTACCGCAACATACTTCACCATGCTAGCTTTCCTAGAGCTGCTCGATGCCGGCAACGAGAATGCCTTGAAAGGGGGATTCGGAGCTCCGGTTGAAGCAGGAAGCAACGTCCCCTCTGTCCCGAGCCAGGTTATCTTCACGAGCAGCGTGTCTGCTTATAGTCGGGATAGGCTGTCGGCGCCCGCGTATACGGCGAGCAAATCGGCCATAACACATCTAGCTAAGCATGCAAGCACGAATCTTGCGAAGTACCAAATCAGGGTGAATGCGGTGGCGCCTGGATGTAAGTATTACCAAGACCTCCGCACATGACTCTGGATGTGGCAATATCTGATTTGTTTGGCCGTCTAGTATTCCCATCCGAGCTAGCAAACGGTCTAATCGCGGGAAGGGACCCCAGCAAAGAGACTCTCGATGACATGAAATTCATACCATCGAGACGGTTCGGGGGCGAGGAGGAAATGGGAGGCACTGTGCTGTACCTCGCAAGCCGCGCGGGCTCATACTGCAATGGCCTAATTCTTCTCAGTGATGGCGGTAGACTATCGGTGACCAATTCGGAATACTAGATGCGAAAGGGGAAATGTGATAGACGAATCAATTAAAAGATTTCTTGAGAAGGAACTCCAGCTTGGCCGTGAATCGAACCCAGAGACCTTCAGAATAAAAAGATGATATAAAAATATGCCTCAGGCGTCCGGACGTCAGGGTGGGGAAGTCCGGTGTGCAAGAAAGGCTGGGGTATGATGTCACATATCATCCACGATCTATGTAGAAGGGATTCGAATTATCAAACAGCTGCATTCGAAATATCCAGCATTAAACTCCTCACATTTCCACGGACTTTACACAAGAAAGGGGTCATCAGTATCCCTCAAAACGGGTATTCGATTATAAAAACCGAGCTAGCTACTTCGTACGTAAGTGGTATCAAAAAACGAAAGAAAAAAAAAACCCCCAAAGGTTATAAACCTCCAAAAAATATCGACAGCAAACCCAACCAGCTGCCATAACCCTTTTTTCAGATAGGTATATACAGTCCCTCAAATGCAATGCTTATATACCCGGTATTCATACCCGATGCCAAAACACTCGTCCCAATCCCTTATGTAGATTCCTTATGTATATGATATATATATACTTCGACAGCCCATAGGTAGGTGGTGGGTAAGCCACCCTACCACTGCCACCACTTCCTGCGATTCAACTCCTCATGCTCGACGGCATCGCTCTCCTTGACGACCTTCATAAACACAGACTCCATCGTGGCGGCGGAGATGGAGTAGCTCTCGACGTTTAGCGCTTCCTTCTGCGCTTCCAGCGTCTCGATCAAGAAGCGCGTGAAGTTCTGCGTCGCGTGCCCGTGCTTCGCCGCGACCGCGACCTGCGCCTGCTTCTTCTCGTCCGCGTACTCGCCGATCGCGTGCACGACCTCGATCCTGTCGGCCTCGGCTTCCGTCTCGCTGCCCGAGCTACCGCTGCTGCTGCTGTTCCCGCTCTGCGAGCCGGACAACGAGGTCCGCCGTCCGGGCACCGCGACGTCCGTCGGCACGATGAACCGTACCTGACCGCCGAGGCTCTCGCCCTCGAAGCGGACGGCGCCGCCAAACGTCCGGCGGGCCCAGTCCTCGAGGGACTGCATTTCCTCTGGTTTGGAGAGCGGGGCGCTGCGCAGGATCAGGTGCACGTGGTACTCGTTGCTGTGCGTTTTTCTTAATGCCTGCGTGGTGCCCACAGCCAGCACCTTCTTCGCCACGATAGCCGCTCTAGTGGCTAGCGCGTCCGCTTCCTCCATGGAGTGTGTGGTGATCAGGACACTGCGTCCGGGAGCCACAGCTTCGAGTGTCCGCCATAGCACTCGCTTGGACGCCGCGTCCATGGCGGACGAGGGCTCGTCGAGGAGGAGGACGGGCGGGTCGCCGAGCAATGCGATGGCCAAGCTGAGTTTCCGCATGTTGCCGCCGGAGAGCTTGTTCGCGGGCTTGGCGGCGTGCGCCGTGATACCCACCCGCGACATCACGTACGCGACGGCGCGGTGCGGGTCTTCGACACCCTTGCAGCGGGCGTAGAAGGTCAGGTGTTCGCGGACGGTGAGGAGGTCGAGGGCGTCGAATTGCGGGCAGACTAATTCACGTTAGTTAGTATAAAAGATCAACAATTGTAAACCCTAAATAGGAAATAGGAAGATCTCGGTATGACCGCGGCGTGGGGGACGTAGGATCCGGTAGCGAGATTGGGTGGCTACGATAAAGGAAGGAGGAAGGAATATAGTCCGTGTAGTGCAGATGCAGTAGATTATTGTATTAGGTAGTGGGAAATGGGGATCGAACTTACCACCGAGGTGCCTCTGTGCCAGGCGCTTGTGGTGCAGCACGTCGACGCCTTCGAGGTAGATCCTGCCGGTATCAGGCGTAAGATCGCCGCGGATCATGTTGATCATCGTCGTCTTTCCTGCGCCGTTGGGGCCAAGCAGCGCCAAGATCTCGCCTTCCCTCAAGCCGAGAGATACGTCTTCTACAGCCGGCTGTTGTCCGAAGCTCTTGGATACGTGGAGTGCGCGTAGCAGATCCGTCTCGGAGGCCGTCACGCGGGCTGTTTCGGCGATGACGTCCTCGCGGCGGCCGGCTAGCGTCTTCTCGATGTCACCTGCGCGCGAAGGAGGTGGGGTAGGCTTGGTTTTCTTGACCCAGGCGAAGCTACCACCTTCGATCCAGAGAAGTAGGGAAAAGAGACCGATGATCTGTAGGATGAGGAGCATGATCGGGCCTCCGAAGGCATAAATCGAGCCCGGGTTCGTGACCATGGTCTGTCCGCGGCAACGCACAATGTACATATTTAAGCTGATGGCCATACCACGCATCAGGTTCTGAATCGGGAAGATTATTCCGAGGCCGAAGGCGGTGCCGTCATTGGTGCGCTGGTTGGCGCCGTCTGTTCGCTGGACGATCAAGAGAGTAACAATCGAGAGTGCGTACATAACACCCAGGAACAGGACGTTGTAGGCGTAGGCCGCGGGTTGCGAACGGGCTAGTAGGGCGATCAGGTACGCGAAGAGGATGGCGGCAAGGCCGTAGAGGACTTGGATGAACCAAACGTAGCCGATTCCGAACCAGGGAGCTGCATTGGCGATCAAGGCGGTGCAGCCGGCGCTGATTACTAGGACGAACATGAAATCGAACATCCAGTACGAGAATAACAAGGAGAATGGTCGGATACCGTTCGAGTATTGTAGCGCTCGTACTTGAGATCGTCGCTCGTAGGTCGGGTATAGGGCGAAGAAAGAAGGGTAAAGAGCTTGTAGCAGACAGAAAACAGTGACGTAGAATACACTGTCACCGCCTTCAGCTTGGTGGTAGGACTTGAGATTCGATGTGTATCCCGCAACGGTCTGGTTGCTGCGGACTTGGTTGACAAGGTTAAGGAGACTAGTAGCGCCAGCTTGTCCAGTCATCGCATCGTGGGCAATAAGAGGGATCGTATCATTGCTAAGCCAGATTCCACCACCGTTTGAGATGTTGTAAGCGTAGTAGTGGATGAATTTCACGAGATTGACCTCGGTATCGACGACGAAAGGTCCTTGGCCAATATCATAGTGGTACGGGTTTGTCGCGTCGATCGTCTTCATGATGGTGCTGTTGACAGCTGGAGGACCAACTGCGAGCACACCCTCGTTGCTAACGGCCATTCGGCTGTCAAAAGAGTCGAACGAGATCAAGCTGTTGCAATCGGGAGTCTGGTAACCCTTGAGGAAGTCGTTGATGAAATGGGTGGCAACAAGAGGAATAGCAAGGCAGAATAGGT